AGTGAAACGGTTCTTCGCTGTAACACTTGGTTCTGCTTGCTTCTTGTAAAACGAATATCAGATTTGTCATTATTGAAAYCTAATGTTGTCCGCTCGCAGTTTTCTCCTAAAGGACATCCCAGTGATTCTTTTTCTTTGTCACTTCTATTTATGTTGCTACTTCTTTTGTTGTWACATTCTTCATCTTGTTGACATTCTTTCGTCCGCTTGGTGTGTTGACTTTCTTGACATCTTTTCGTAAGGCAAGGATTTCTCTTTTCTTGTGTTTCCAGCGTTTGGGTGCACGGCGCTCCTAAAGGACACGAAGAGAATGTTCTTTGCGCTGCTTCTCCTTTCCGTATACAATCGTCTCCCTGGCATTCTGGTGTAAGGAGTTGGTTTCTCCAAAACGAATCGATATCATCTTTTCTTCGGCGATTCTCTAACGGCAAGGACCGCGAAAATTGACCAAAGACTAACAAAAAAACTGAGACAAGAACTATTCTAGTTGTGAATAACATTATTGGGAAGGCTTCTTTTTCTTTTTTCTCCTTCACGACGACTTAAAACAGTGTTGCTGTATCTGTGACTAGTTTCGTTGCATGCCTTTGGTCGAGCAACTGATCGTTCGTTGCTGGCAGCTCTGATGTATCTATACCTCACACGGGATTAAGAAGCTAAGTGTATTCACCATAGGGCGTCGGTCAGTAATATAGTAATTTCGATTTCCGGAGCRTCTTAATTGTTTTTGTTTTGCGTGGAACAGGTGAAAATCTTGAGCTTCTCCTACGCGAGCATTAATTGATTTTATTCTGAGAAGAATTTTTTCACCTTTAGATAGTTCTAACCAATTTGATGCTGTATTTTTAATAAGACCTTTCACTTGGTCGACTTGATTTGAAATTTCCTTTTGCGAATCTTTTRACCCATTAAAAGAATGAAGTTACCCAACATCCTGAACTTTCCTTCATATAACAATTCTAAAAAATGTCAAAAATGTAATATCTTTTGGTTTGATATATTTTTAGCTTGCGTCTGGGGCACGTTATTTCCCGCTATTGACTTTGTTTTTGCAGCCGGGAAAATTAGCGTTTGAATTTAACACCTGCAGTAATATGCTTGCGTTATTTGCCTTTCTTATTTTTATTAACTTCTAAGAGAGCCTTCGTCGCTTAACTCAGTTAATAGACTTGACGCTGGGGAACTCAATTGAAACTAAGAACGAAAAGCATTCACATAACGAGACATGAAATGAAATATTTCGATAGCCAAACATCCTAAAAAAATTGTTTTATTTTCCAAAAAATAATAAATCATAATGCTATTGGTCAATATTTGTAATTAAATAATGTAACTCGACTGTACAGAAACTTAAAACGAACCGCCTGATTGATTGTTTCGTTGTCTTTTTAAAGTAACGAAGTTTCCAACTCTCGCAGAGATTACTGGCTATGGCTCTTGGAAAAATTGAATTCTAAATTAATTATTTCCCTTGGCTACTTTAAGCTGGTTTTTCCTTTATTGAAGACATGAATTCTTCCGGCTTTGGCAAATGCAACCGTAAGCTCATAAAGCCTTTTTTCGGGGACTTCTCGTAGTTGGATGATTTATTATCCTAGAAATTTGATAATGGTCTTAATCTTGAGTCTTTAAATCCTTAATGGAACGGCTATTTTTGCTAATATTTGATGGCAAACTTATCAGACACTTAAAGCAAAACACATCAATTGCTTAACTTGAAACATTTTTAGGTTAAACTCCCATTTTTGAAATTTCTCTTTTAATACTTAATTCGATTATCTAAACCGCGGATGAAGTTCTGTCTGAATCAAGTTGTGGGTTGTGTTATGGTAGTCGACACCAGACGTCTACCCAAGTCGAGTACGATTTGATTCTAGCTTCCAAACTCAATAAAATTCATTGAATCTAAAAAAATAATTAAAAATAAAAGATCTTGAGCGTTTTTCATTTATGTTAATTCGAACATTTGGTCCATCGTATCGATATATCGATGTCCTTTTTTGCTGTGAAGCATGTGAATGGTGCGTGTTCTAGCCGCCAGCTCGTAATTCTAAGTCGTAATCAATTATAGTTAGATTGTTTCTGTAACAAAAATAACAGATTATAACACCCGTAAAGRATCATTGTTCTCTCGTCTAATGGATAATGATGAAACAATGTCCAACAAATTGTACGAATAATTTCTTSGAGATCTCACACAGAGAAGGAGAAGGAAGGTATGACAGCGCTGCAATAAATTAATGATAAAATGTGGACGTTTTTGTAAGTACTCTAATCACGATGTCTTATGGAATTGTTCATGCGGCRGGAGCGRAATAAGAGATCGGAAGACTTCACTYAAGGAATTGTTAGAGCCCTTTTCAGTCAAAACGCCCCATCAGTTGAGTAAAATTTAGGTTGGAATGTGGAGGCGTGTTTTTTTAAGGAACACTAAATGATAATCGCAGCGTACGTGTTTCTGAATTAGAAAATATTCCAGCTGTCGATTTATTCATTAACACTTTTCCGTACCCTCTCTTCTAAATTYATTATTAACTTTCTGATAGGAAGTTTTCCCTATGTGAAGTTTTGTAAATCAAGTGATTTCTGGTATCCTTTTTGGATATTAAAACGAAAGAGTTTTTCAGGGATGACAAAAACTAAAGAAAGTGAATTTAAAAATTTTGTGTTGTTTTTATTTCCAATGTTTTTATTCGTACTACAGTACCATGACGGAAGTACACCGTCAAAAAGAGAGTAAAACACCAAATACTGGATCARTTCATTAAAGGTATCTTTCAGGCAATGTTATATTGACTGCAGGTGACCTTTAAGCCTTAAAATGTTATCTGTACCCTGAAGCAAGCGTTTTTTCAGCAGTAAAGGCCCCATTCAGATTTTCATATATTCAAAGATTGAACCCTGAAACAACCTCTGGGCTGATCAAAGTCAGGGCACGGCTAACTCACAGATCAAACCCTGAAACAACCTCTCGGCTGATCAAAGTCAGGGCACGGCTAACTCACAGATCGAACCCTGAAACAACCTCTGGGCTGATCAAAGTCAGGGTATGGATATCTCACAGTTTGAATTAGACTTTAAGTTGTTAAGTTTTACGAAAGCACCAAAACACGAGAACCCTGAAAAGAAAAAAAAACCTCGAAAAATAAACCTTTTTTTATTGTTTCCTCTTCGACGCGGTGCAGACCGGTCGCCTGGTTTTGGAATGATGACAAGCGACAGCTGTGACAAATAAAAAGTCTAGCGTGCAAACAAATCTATGCTTGATGTAAATAACGAAATAAGAAAAATGCATYATTGACGCATCAGGTTTTGTTTTAACTTTGGTGGGAGAAAACGGTTTATCTATGAAAAAAAATGTTCTCCAGTAGAAGGTAAAAATCGATGAAAAGTTTTTTGTCTAGTAAGTTGAAGGTCACATTGARGTTGTTTGCAATGTACGTTATTCATTAGATTGTAAATTGAATTGATTTCATTTATTATCTTTATCAATCGTGTGTTAATTAACTTCGATTCCGTGGCCACGACTAAGCAGTGTGTATAGACCAAAGCGAAGGCTAAAAACTTCGATTCACAGAGTCTTAAGAACTTCAAGATTCACCGTGTTTGAAGGGAGTGCTGATTGTTCACTGGTTCAAATGYCTTTCCGGCGTGGGATCGTCAGTGTTCGCTATGAATGACTTGGAAGAAAGCACTTTGAGAGAAAGAGAAGGGAASCCTCAACTTGAAACAAAGCTCTATAATGGATCTTTTAGTGAAGATAAATCATTACTAAATACAGGCATTTTYGTTCTCTGACTATATTCTTGCAAAACAAAACTCGTGGCAGTAAGCCAGCAAAGTAACTGAAATGAGAMAGACGGTCTCCTAACCGTTATATTTCACGACCCCATTCTTTCTGCGCTTCTTCGACGAAATGTGGCGGGAACCAGAGTAGATTTCTTAGCCCTAGCTTTTTTTTCCTTATCGTAACGTAATCTCCTGACTACAATTAACTAAAAACTACAACGTTCACACCTCTCAATTGTTGTGGATTGAATAAAAKATGAAAACAATATAGCTCAGTAGTGTGGGGAGGAACAAGGGAAGCAAGTTGTGACGCTTCTCACACTTGTGTCCAGTGTGTATAGGTGTAAGTATTTTCAAGTTTCGCTAAGTAAAGAGTTTATTGTGAAATATAAAAGGAAAGGAAGTTCTTTCAGAAACATTTTAAAATTTCATGATCAGAAAAAATTTTTTTTGATACAGTTTCGTGTTATTTAAAAAATCGATTCACGGTTTAGCAAAAAGGAAAAGAAAGAAAAAAAGAGAACCAGCAAATCAAATCAGTCATGAAGTAACATTAATGGCTGTCTGCAGGTATCATTTGCCAGGATAATGGATGGGTAGGAATGGCATCAACCGTTATGGATGTCAGTAACTGTTATCTGTCTGGTATATTTTAAACTAAATTTGAAATAATCGTGGATGTTACGTTCAAAGCTTTTTTTCTTTCAATGTTTCTGGGTCAAGTTGTTTTTGCAACAAAGTTTGAAAAAAGTAACCTAAGGTGGTTTTTTGACATAAGTTTTTTTTTTAAAAAAAAAGGAACAACAAATATCCCGTATTGCGTAGCTGAAGGTTCAGTTTCTAAAAAAAATTGTCCCAGCCTGCAATGATCATATTTTCTGACTTAATGCGCAAGCGCTAGCCTATCTAAATCTTACATAGYGTCAAAAGATCGATACTTTGGATCTTATATTATCAGTCATGTCGCTGCCCAAAACTTTACCTGTATTTAAAATTTTATGCAGTTAATATTGATTTTGTATTGTCTTTTTTATTTGAGGACATTGTTACTGTAAAGCCAAGGGTGCCATGTTCTTATGCTTGCCGATGTCTTACTTGAATCGCGAAATRATAACTCATGTAATAAAGTTACTAAAAACAAACGTAATAACAAGTTCAGGATATGAATGGACTTCGATTGCTTATTGTGCTGTCAAAGAACTTTTTTCGCTACTTTAACTTGCCAATGAGAGCTATTTTTTAGCGGGGGAATTTTTCGGGAAATAGGCAAAACGTTTTTTTTTTAACCGCGGTTCTTACTGTAAAATAAACTGTGACGTCAGAGGTGCATGAAGATGCAGATGTATTGATCCGCTAAAGATAGTGTCATTGGTAAGTGATCTTGTACGAAGATACCCCGTACACAAGTATATTCAAGAGTACTTCTAAGGACGTATTCCCATCGTACTGACAAGAGTAACTAGCTCAAGTACTCTCTCAGCAACTTTACATGATTGTTCAAATAGACAAATCCATTTTTGAACGTATAGGATGTTCGCTTTGTCTTATACTTTTGACCCCTTTGAACTCTCTTCTACATATTTCAAAGGCACTTGTCTTTATGCTTTTTACCAGTTTAAGTGTTTTAAATGACTGGGGAAGTTGGTCAAAACTACAGCTCTTGGTTATACCGCTCTCTTCTACTTATTTCAACGGAGGCACTTGTCATTATACTTTTGACCCGTTTTCGTTTCTAAGTGTTTCAAATGACTGGGCAACTTGGTTAAAACCACCGCTCTTTGTTAWAACTCTTCTACTTATTTCAAAGGCACTTAACCATTAAAAAAAATATCTTTAGTAAGTTTTTGATGCAGTCAGTGGCTCTTAAAACTCTTTGCGAAACTAGTACTGAAAAAAGATAAAATGRAGGAAGCCCTTAAAGTATTAACATCGACATGACTCGGGCACTCGTGYCGCTATCTGGATTCTTCGAGTACTCGTCGACAAAACGACGCAATTCTAAACTCTAATGGGTATATTTCAAAGGCGCTTTTGAGTATGCACTAAAATACRCAACCAGATCGAAAATCATCAATACCTATTTGAAAAGTACTATTTAAGTATATTTTATGAGAGAGCGTTCTCTTTGAAATAACTAACTTTCTTCAGCTCCATCATTAAATTATATATTTTTTTACTGAATTTCATTCTTACGGTATGTGGCGTTAGTTAACCATTTTGCTGAATTTTCCAATTTTCCTTTTTTATATTTTCCTGTCAAGAGTCGAGAAACTAGGTGCGGTCAGTGATTTGATTTATTCTGACACTGATGGGAGGTTTCTCTCTTTCCGGCTGGTAAAGCAGGCAGAACCAGAGCGTCTAAATTTAATCTGGATCCCCGTTCAATGCTGATACTGTTAGGGGCGGATATGTAGGGAAAGATAACGGTATTTTGGTAACGTTAACTCTCCGCACTACCTGACTACGTGCAGCTGGCATACCCAGCGTGCAAACGAAATCGCGCGGCAGTCAAAATTATAAAAAAAACGAAAACTAATCCTGAGAGTTGTTTGGTATTAATTCACTGAACCCTTTTTTGGGKAGGGGGTTGGGATAGGCTGGGTCATATATGCTATATTCTAAGCATGTTGGCTCTAAAAAGCCATGTGGGGGGAGTGAATTTTGAAAAGTTTTGACTATGATGAAGGTACAGGCCAAGATCTTAAACAGGCTCATGGAGTAAAAGCTCCTAAAACTAATAATGGAAAAATCTTCTGGTATTGCGACTGAGGTGATTTGCCATCACGCCACACAGCACTTCAGTGACCAATTGCTCTGGAGATGATAGAATGTTTTCATGAATGAAACTAGAGTGAAGACACTTCGGCAGAAACTTTTGTTTCAAAAAAGAAAAAAAAAACTCCTCAAAAATTGAAAGTTGATGAAGCCATCAATCAAAGACTTACACGACACAATTGCCGGATGAACTAAAACACCGAAACATAAAAGAACAATACTAATAATGGCTGGCTTCCTGAAATAAAATAAGCCGTGTCTGTTGGCCGGATATTAAGGGGAGGAAAAACTACGCTTAGTTCATGTTATTTTTAAAAGTTAATTGAAACACTTGAAACTTCAAAATTGAGAACGATTTTCTTTATCTGGGGAAATCGCCGCAAAGCAGCCATTAAAGCATCTGCTTGAATCAAACAAACGCCCTCGAGACGGTACGGGAATTGATAAACCTTCTTGATCCAACGATCTTAGACCTTTTGGCTCAGTGTCTGACCGCAATCCTAAAAACTTTGATGGCGTAAYCCCCGAAAGTCGTTCATATTCATAATCTTATGTCATTGTCGTCGTTTCAATCCTAAGCTGGAAAAGTTCCGTTATAATCAGCGAATTAATTCAGTAAAAGTTTATCAAGAATCATCAGTATCAAAGTACATCCAGTAGCTCTTGTGAACGGGGATGGAAATGTTAAATGAGGATCGAAAAGATGGAAATTAAAGATTTACAGGTGCTATAGATTGCATAAGAACGGGGCATTTGATTGGGTGATTTTTTAGAGGTCTGTAGTGAAGAAATGGGCCTGTGTAGGGAATTCAGTTATGAAAATATTAATCAAATAATCACCCGCTGGTGTTAGCTTTTTATGTGTCTGGTTAAGATTTAGAACTGAATTGCTTCTCCTTCTGTTATTCTTTTCAACCCTTC